GAGGAGGAGGAGGAGGAGGAGGGGCCCCCCGAGGCCGAAAACTGCCGAGACCCTTCCGTCGTTTTGTTTTTGTTCACGACGCGAGCAGTTCCGGGGACCCCCGCCGGGGGCTGCGGTCTCTTTTCTGGGGCCTCCCTCCCCCCCTGGGGAAACGCGCGCGCGCATGAGTCCTGCTCGGCGTCGCCGAGATGCTCGCCGTCGTACCGCTCGCCTGGAGGCCTCCCAAATGGAGCCCTCGTGGTGTAGGATGACGACCAGGAAGAGCACACATAGGGTGAACGATTTCATTGCCCGAACGTCGACCCCAAACATGAACGCACCATTATTACCGCACGCCTTCCCAGCAGCGACCACATCGGCCAAGCTGACAGGGGTCTCGGAGCACGCAGTCCTTCTGACTGGGCAAGAACTCCCTCACATCCCAACGGTGTGGGACAAATATGATCCCCTGCCGCTGGGGGAGATCTTGGAGAGGACAGCCGAAGAATCTCAGCGGCGACGACGACGCCCACGAGCAGGCCTGGGACCCAGTCCATGACTCCTCGTCCAGGGCGGTGCTGCGTGACGCCCCCCCCCAGGACTATCTCAATGGGGCCCCGAGATCGCACCGCATGCGTCGATGCACCGGCCACGCTGGGCCAAAGAGATCGGACCCCAGATCGCGCCGCATGCGCCGCTGCACCGGCGATGAGGCGCGATCCCCGGACCCCACCCGCGGGCGACACCGAGAAGTTTGAAACACCAAGACAACCTGCTCCCCGGACCTCTCCACAGGGTGCGTTCTGACCAGACCCTCGAAGAGAATCCAGCCGTGGGGACGAAAGCCCCCCCAGAGGTCCCAACCGCTTCCAAAGGGGTAGGTTTTCGCCTCCGATCCGCTTCTGAGGGTCCCGGGGCCCGAGCCCCGCCGGGAAGTCAAGGAGAGCCCGCCAACCGACAAAAATCGTATCGTCAGAGATCTGGATCCGTTCCGGCCCCAGCCAGGGGTGAGGGGCAACGGTAGGGGGAGACTGACACAGGTCGGGGGTGCGCAAACACGGATTAGCGATCCATGGATCTGGCGCGCGGTCGCCAAATCCATTGACCGAGGGAGGTGCCCTCCCCAAAAGGCGGCCGCTGCCGCCTCGCTCGGCGGCGGAAATCCGCGATCCCCCATGGAAGCGGGGCCCGTCGCTATAATCCACGCCCCCTTGATCCATGTTTGCCATCGCCTGAACAGGGGGGGAAACATCGAGCTTAAACCAGCTATGCATTGCCGATAAGCCGTCGATAGAGGACGATCAATGGAGAGGATGCATGATGCCAAATAGTTTCCAAGTGCCTAATAATGTTTGAAGCATACCTTGACTATGTGAAAACAACACAGGTCTGCAACATGTTTAGAGCATGTGCCAACCATTTTAGACACATGTTTAATTCAATGATCAGATTGTTAGGGTGTCCAGTACCATGGCATCCACAACAGGCCCCCGATGGCGAATTCGCACGGTCCTGGGCTGGGTGGGCCTCTCGGGCCCCTCATTCGGCGCCGGATGGGCGATCGGGGGCTTCCGAACGTTTTTCCTCCTGGTTTTAAGTCGGGCGGGTCCCCCGACGGGCGGATTGTGGACGAACAATTAAAGATAGCCCACAAATGAACAACAAATGCTCAGACATCCTCAAAACATCGTCCCCAGACTATTTTTTGACTGGTTTTGGGGCATTCCTCCTGTAGGAGGACACGCCCGACCTAACCCTGGTGTTAGGTTCACAACTCAGCTCTCTGGCGGCCGCTCGGGGTGATCCAGCTCTCGGCGAAGCGCAGGTGCTGGACCGCATCCCCAGGTTGGAAAACCGCCGAGAACAGACCCACATGCTCGGACGACCATGAGAACCCCGATCCCGAGAGAGTTGCCCACCCGCCCCCCTGACCCTTGATGGGCCTGATTTCCACCACCACCACCATAAGTTGGAGGGGGAAGGGGTCCTCCTCCTCCTCTTCCTCCTCAAGGGGTCCTCCTCCTCCTCTTCCTCCTCCTCCTCCTCCTCCTCCTCCTCCTTCCCCCCATCCGACTTATGGTAGTGGTGGTGGAAAACAGGCCCATCAACCCTATCCCCTCGTAGCGCTGCCCCTGGGAGGAAGCCCGGATCCTGGCGGCGCGCACGGGGGGGGGCCGCGCGTGGCTGACTCTGCCCCGGCTCGCCGCGCGCCACCACGTCCAGCACCGCGCGCCGCACCGCGGCGACCGCCGTCCACTGCCCGGGCCTCGCCGCGCCGCGCCGAGCGTCGCGTTCGCGGCCCTCGCCGCCCCGCCCGGCTCGGCGCGCCGGCCGCCCGTCGCGCTGAGGTCGCGCGCCGATCGGGTGCGAGGCCCGAGAACAAGTGGCACCCTCGAGGAGCCCTAAGGTCAAGGCGGGCCTCTCTCTCTCTCTCTCTCTCTCTCTCTCTACAGGAGGAATCTTCCCAAAGAGTCAAGACACAGGGACGATTGTTTGACAACTCTAAAACATTTTAGAATGTACTTTTCGGGGTATTTTCCATTGTTCGTCCAAGATCCGCCTGCTGGGGGACACGCCCGACCTAACCCTGATTCGGCGGCGAGCGAGGGGGGAGGTGAGAAGGAGAGGGCCTTCTCAGAAGGCGGCGGGACTTCTCTGAAGCCCCCGTACCTTCCGAGGAGTGTTCTGGGTCTTCTGGGGGGGGCTTAGAAAACGTCTCGGAAGGCCTGGGGACTTCCGAGCCTTCTGAGAAGGTCCGCGCCTTCTTACTCCCACCCGGGCTCGTCTCCGACTAATATCGGTGCGATGGCTGTAAAAGGGGGGCAGGAGATGCCGGAGATGCCTCTTTTACGGGTGGCGGATCTGGGGGCCCTGGCAAGGGGCCCCTGCCACACCCAGGAACTTCACGCCCCAGACGTCGTGTAGAGAAGACGATGCACTTACGTGTCGGTACACGGGGGCTCGTCCAAAACCGTCAGCGGCCTGCGGTAGCGCCGACAGCGGATCCTGCCCAAGATGAACAGGAACTGCCGTCGGTCTTCGTGCCAACTCTTGCTGCGCCCATGCCGATCATACCCTCGGGTCGGGCGTGTCCTCCTACAGGCTGCTTTTGTGGACGAAAGCTAACAACTAGTCAACCAATGCTCCGAAACATTCAGAACAATGATAGACAGATGGTCCCCATACAATTTTGGGACTATTTTTAAGTCGGGCGTGCAGGAGGAATATTCAAAAATAGTAGAAACATCCGCCGACCCCTTGGGACCACGGCGTGTGAGATGCCTCCCCCTCCCCAAACCCCTCCCCTGGGGGCCTGGTCCGGCCGGTTTGGAGGGGGGGGGGGGGGGGCAAATCCATCATCCGCACACTTGGAGCCTCAGGAGGGCCCAAAACGGGCCAAAAAAGCTCCAAAGGTTCCTGGAACGGTTCAGGAGAGCTACGAATCGACGAAAGATCGCCCCAAAACGACGAAGGTTGCCTCCACGCAGCTCCATAAGTCCCCAAGACGTTTGAAACAATACTGCGAGGCGCCCCAAAAAAGCCCTGCGGAAGAAAGAATCGTCCCACTCCTTTGGGAAAACGTGCATTTTCACAATATTCGCCCATTCGGCTTCCACGCGGCGCAAACCAGCCCAAGAAGCCTCCAATATCGACCCTCGCCAGCCCAAGAGGCTCCCAAAAAGGCTCCAAGACGGCGTCCGGGCGATCCACGAAGGCACCAGAAACCATAGCAACGGCTTAGGAAAGCCGCAGGACGGCCCCAAGGGCTCCAAAACGGGGCAAGAGGGCCCCCAAGCGGGGGACGATTCGGTCCAAACCGCCCAAGATCGCCGCCAGACGGCCCCATGGGTGTCCAAGACGTTTGAAAACGCGACCACGAGGCGCTCCAAGAAGGCCGCCACAAGCAACAACTGTCCCATTTCTTAGATGACACGTACATTTTTAGCACATTCGCTTCTTGGGCTTTCACGAGGCCCACAACGGCCCAAGAAACCTCCAAGATCGACCCTTGTCACCCGAAGAGGCTCCCAAGACGGCTTCCGGGTGATCCACGAAGGCTCCAGAAACCAGAGCAACGGCCCAGGAAAGCCGCAGGACGGTCCCAAGAAGGCTCCAAAACGGGCCAAGAGGGCTCCCAAAGGCTGTCTGGACGGCCCACGCGGGGGACGAATCTGTCCAAACCGCCCGCCCACGATTGCCTCCAGACAGCTCCATGGGCGTCCAAAACGTTTGCATACGCGACCACGAGGCGCTCCAAGCAGGCCTCCAGAAGCAAAAACTGACCCATTCCTTAGGGAAAACATGCATTTTCAGCACATTCGCTTCTTGGGCTTCCACGACGCCCACAACGGCCCAGTAAACCTCCAAGATCGGCCTCTGGAACCCCAGGAGACTCTTCAAAAGGCTCCACCACGGCCTCCGGGCGCCCCACGAAGGCCCCAGAAACCATCGCAACGGCCCGGGGGAATGGCAGGACGGTCCCAAAAGGGCTCTAAAACGTGTCTAGAGGGGCCTCACAGGCTGTCCCGACAGGCCACGCGGGGGACGATTGCTGCCGCCCCAAGGGGTCGGCGGTGTGGCGTAAGCCAATGGATAGTCAGGGGATGATTTTTTGATCATTTTTGATTCTGTTGGGGCACTTTTTGGACTATGTTTCATTGTTCGCCCACAGTCCCCCTGTTTTGGGGGACACGCCCGACTTGAGGCTATTTTTGAAGACTCCTCCTATTTAGGGGGACACGCCCATCTTCGTCATGCCGAGCGTCGGCCCGCGCCGACGAGGGCGAGCCCGATGGGCTCCGGCACGGCCGACGCGCCCTGCCGCGGCCGACGCGCGGGTCGGGGCGCGCCGTCGGCGCGCCGCGGGCCCGAGGGCTCCGCGGAGCTCCGACCTCCGAGGCTCCACGCCGCGAGCGGAGCGTTTTTGTGGATGCGGCGCGTCGGCAGTGGGCGCACTGGGCGGAAGGGGGGGTGGGGGTAGAGGAAAAAAAACTGTGCACATACACCGATTCTGGCCAGGCCCATCCTGAGCCCAGGATCGGTGCATACGCCCTCCTACCTTGGCCAGGAAGGCATATGCACCGATCCTGGGTCAAAGATGGGCCTTGCCAGGATCGGTGCATGTGCATAGCTCTCTTCGCCCGATGGGGGGAGGGGGGGGGGGGTCTGGCTCCGGACCTCTGCTCCGCGCGACGGTCTGCAGCAGTGCGTCCGTGGTGGGGGAGGCTGCGCCTTCTGGAAGCAGGCGCCACTTCCTGGGGGGATGGGGGACGGGGGGTGCGAGGGCCCGCGCCGATCGGCAAGACAATGAACAACAAACGATCACGACCTGAACAGTATTTTGCATTTTCGTTTCGTTTTCGCTTTCCGTCGTTCGATCTTCGTTCCGCCCCTGCTGCAAAACGGGATCAAAACGGGAACGGCCCACGAAGTCGCCAAACGCCGTCGAGGCTCGCGCCGTGGGGGAGGCAGGGCGGCGAGGGAGAGGAGCGGGGAGGGGGGGGGGGGGCGATGCCGCAAACCCAGACCCCGGACGTCGTGATTTTTTCGCGACGTCGACCCCCAGAGTTTTCGACACATTCCCCGGGATCGGGTTCTCATCCCGAATCGTTTTTTGACGGTCCCGAGGCACGGCAAGGGCCCCCGGAGGCCGAAAACATAGAAAAACCTCCTGTCGCATTTTTGTTCTGCAGCGCGAGGGGGTCTGGGAGGGGGGGGGGGGAGAAGAACGAGGAGCAGAGCATGGGGGCCGCGGCCGGCGCGGTCGGATCGGGCCCCCGGCCAGTTGCCACGAAGAAGACGTGGGCGGCCCAGCCCTTCCAGGGCCTCGGCCTCCGAAGGCGGCCGGCCCGCTCCAGGGCTCCGCGGGGGAGCGCAGCCAGCCCTCGCGGAGCCTCTGGCCCTGGTCCGCGAGGAGGGCCAACGGCAAGCAGGCCCAGGCCGGGGTCTCCTCCTCCTCCTCCTCCTCCTCCTCCTCCTCCTCCTCCTCCTCCTCCTGCCCGGCCACGCGCAGGGTGTGGCCCCTGGGCGGGAGTGGCCCCTGGTGCGCGGCCTCTGAGGAGGCCGTGGGGAGGCCGAAGCCAAGTCGCCGCGCAGGCCAGTGCCTGGGGGGGGGGCACCCCTGGCGGGTCCGCGCCGCAGGTCGCCCCAGCGAGGGGGCCACTCTCACGCGTGAGCGAGGGGTGGCCCTTCTGGGGAAGGGGCCGAGAGCCCCCCTCCCCAGAGGAGGAGGAGGAGGAGGAGGAGGAGGAGGAGGAGGAGGAGGAGGAGGAGGAGGAGGAGGAGGAGGAGGGGAGGAGGAGGAAAAGGACGCATATGAGGAGTTGGAGGAGGGTGGGGGAAGAGGAAGGGGATTTGTGCTCCTGGGCCTCTCGTGAACGGGCGGGCGCGAGCCCGCGCGGGCGGTCGCGGGCGCCCCCCCCCCCCCCTCCCCGGCGGCCCCCCTGCGCGCGTGGGGGACCTGCGGCCCCGTGAACGGGACTTTGTTGGGTAGGCCCCCCATCTCGAAGATCCTGCATCCTCCATGCCTCGGCTTCCCCCGCTGGAGCTGCGGTCGGACCTGGGACAGAAGGACATCCTTCAAGAACATGATACCCTCCGCCGGCCAGAACCAAGAGCATTCGAGGGTACCCTCTCGCAGGATGCACAAGAACATCCAACAAGCACGAAGAACATTATGGTACCCTTACCGAAGCGACCCCGATCTGATGCCCCGGCCCGACTGTGAGAGGATGTCCGGGCCTGCAGACGCCCTGGCCCCGGTGGCCACGATGGGAATCTGGGGCCGGGGGGCCGGCTGATCGCTGGCCGCGCGGCCATACTGGCTCAGGCCACCCGAGCCCCGCGGACCCGCGCGCGCGGGGAGCGATCGGTCTTCGGGGTCTCCCGCGCCCACCCCGGAGGAGGGCGGCTCTGGCGGCCCAGGCCGCGGGCGCGCGGCCGGCCCTCTGCGGCACCCCTGCTCTGGGCCCCTGGGAGGAGAGAAGGAGGGGGGGGGCGGAGGGCGGGGAGGGGGCGGGAGAGGGGAGGGAGGCGACTGGGAGGGAGGCGGCAGGACGGAGAGGAGCGGAGGCCGAGGCGCCAGCTTGTCGGCCGCGAACCACCAGGCGGCCGCGGGGCGGCCTCCGACGTGGCAGGTGCGGCGGATGAGGCGGAAGACCTCCAGCCTCGTCGGCGCTCCCAGGGAAGAGGGCCAACGAGGGCCAGGAAGAGGAAGGAGGAGGAGGAGGAGGAAGAGGAGGAGAAGGAAGAGGATAATGAGGAGAAGGAGGAGGAAGAGGAGGAGGAAGAGGAGGAGGAGGAGGAGGAGGAGGAGGAGGAGGAGGTGGCGGCTTGTGAAGCTTTGTCGTTGGTAATTCGCTGGCAAGGCCCCACATGGACACACTGTGCGAGCAGGCCACACCAGCTATCGAACAACCACATGCGGGAATGAGATCAGGATCGGCCAACAGCGAACGACAACATGATCTCACTGCTCGTCTGACCGGCACCATCAGCAGCATGAGCAGAATGTGCACCTCTTCAAGATCCACGTTCCCAAGATGATCTCGGAGTACTGTGTCAGCATGGGCGACGCAGCGAACAATTACGAAATGGACCCGGATTCCAACCACGACATGGAGCGCGAAAATTACAGAATGATGACCGACGTCGAAACATCGCTCAACTACACCCTCCGACACGATGGGCTACCAGGAGCTCGTTCGTTCAGGATGACCCACAGTCAGACCGCCCTCGCCCATTTCGTCAACCATCAACTCGCCACGATGCTAACGTACCCGATCGGCGACGACTGCGATGACATATCGACGCCAACTGCCGTGGCCTACCAGCGCCGCAGCTTCCTCATGTACATCAAGTTGAGCGTACGCTACAACCCCACGTCCGAGCCCGCGCCACTCGCGATCACGCAGTTCCAGAGGGACACCGCCACCACAACCATCAACAAGATCAACGAGCTGATCAACGCCCAGGGAGATGACCCACCAGGCAGCGCCGCTGGACAGACAGCCCTTGGGGAGGACGACAGCCGAGGACCACATTGCGCAACAGCAATGGGGAACCATCAAGCACAAGCGTGAGCAACGACGTGCCAACCGAGCCCCAACACCACGGCTCACCGCCCGCGCTACACACATCTCAAGTGCAGGAGGAGCGGCGCCTCGACAACACCATCGCCAGGCTGAGCCGCAGGGAGGAAGCCCTCGGCCACTACTCGCAACAGCGCCTCATCTCCGACACGCAGCCATGGCTGGCAACCGCCAACAAAGACCAACAGCAGCTGCCACCAACCATTTGTATGATGATCACCGACTCCCACATGACGATGCCCGCCGACGACATCAGCACTATCAGCCCACCCACAGGGACAGCAGGAAAGACTGTCCATCCAGAGGGAGAAGGGTACGACAACCTTACGGACCTGCACGACGAAGAGGTCCACAGCTCCAAGGTACGCACGCTCGGAGCTGAGACAGCGTGGCAACCGTGGCCACCTTTCGACATCGCCTACTAGCTCGAGTACAACACCCTGGCGAATCAGGAGCCTCCCCGCTGATCGCCCACAACCCGCAAAGCTCAGGCCTCAGGATGGGACAGGCCGAATGGCGGCCCATCAGTGCGTCTTCTTTTCCCAAAGTTTGACCAGCTTTGCTCCAGTGACAGACAGCGGACTCTACATGCGACTAGCTGCTCCCTTCTGATTCCACGTCTCTGAACTATCTTTTCGCCAAACAGCCGCACTCACTGGCAGCACAATCGGGCCGCAAATATCGCAAATTTCTGAACCTCGTACCGGTTGCTAAGAGGCGGCAGCACACTGTACCGCCTGCGTGCAATGGGTCCCCAAGGGGCTTTCTCACCCACTCATGCTACACAGTGCGACGTGCTACGCCGTGGGTCCCCGAGGGGCTTTCCCACCCACAGAGGAGACATCACACGACACGCCGAGATCATGAATGCAAGCGAACCTGGATATCGCATTCCGAATAAGGTCTCAACCAACCTCCACTCCCTACCGGCTAACCTTCTTTCAGCCCCGTCTACCCCCCGCCTTTTCCACAATAACCTTCTACTCCTCCCTCCGTGTGGCGGGACGGGTTTTGGGGTCGTACGGGTGGGGATGGTGAACGGACTCACCACTGGCCGCCATGGCGAGGGTCAGGACGGCCGTGGCCGCAATGCAAACGCAGCCCGCAGCAGGCTTGCTTTTACCACATCTCAACCCGCTTTTCTGCCATCGCCGACGCCTGCCCACACTCCTCTGCCTCACATCTTCACCTCGCTGGCTTGCTACGACGCGGCACTGTAGCTACCGCCGCGCGCTACACTTGGTGGGAGGGCAGGGACATCAGCTGGCTGGGACGGGACACGCGGACATCGACCGCGGTCACGGCAAGGGCCATGGCTGCCGCGGATGCAGCCAACACAGCCAGACCTACCGCCGCAGCGCTGCACTGCTTTGCTAGCTATCATGACATTGGGGGCGGGGCAGGTATAGCCGTGGGTGACGTCTACGGTTGGGGGCGGGCACTACTGTTACAGAGCTGCGCCACCGCCACGGAAGGCATACAACTCCCCCACGCACGGTGAACCCCCCTAAGCGGCCCTCACCCCAGCGATCTGGGTACCCTACTCCTGCTTGCCAGGGGAGGGTACCAGTCGCGGGGCTGGCGACGCTTCGGCGGGTTTCCTATGTGCAGGGGCAGAGGCCTTTATGCCTTCCAACTTGGCGAGGTTGGGTAGCCACCGTTGCCGAGCGAGCGTGGCGACCCCACCGCCACCGGCCCCGAGGTCAACGTTCTGGGAACCCTACGCCTGCCTGCAGGCGAGGGATCCCGTCGCAGATCTCGGGGACGCCTGTGGGAGGTTCTTTTGAGCAGAGGGGGGGGCCCTTGAGCCTTCCACTTTGGCGAGCGTGGACAGGTAACGCCGCCACCCACCACTGCCGCCACTTACCACCCACTCTGCCCTCCCACAGGCAGCGCTTCAGCCACCCCACACCTCTTTTCTTATCCGTTGCATCTTAGATTTCGTCCGCCAGTTTCACCGCCCTCACACTGCCTCGCGCCGAACTGCAAGCCCCTCAGCTACGGCCGGGGGAAGACACCCTCTACCTCTCCCCACCTCCTGGACAATCGCCGCTAGCCATCAGGGCTACCGCTGCTTACCATCAGGGCCACCGCTCGCCATCAGGGCACGGCTGCTCCTCGTGGGGAGCACCTCTCGTCATCAGGGCTACCGCTGCTCACACAATGGGGGGGGGGGCTTTCAGGGATGGACGGGGCACACATGCGCCACACCACCGCCACGCACTGCGTCAGCCCCAGCTCAACTCGCCTCCTCTTCGCTATCACGACATGGCACCATGCGCTTCGCCTCCCTTCCTCTCCTCGTCTGTCTGTCGATTTCTGATTGGCACTTCTTTCGGGGATGGACAGACCTCCCTTTAGTAAAACGTGGTTTAGTGAAAAAGACCTGAGGCCCAAATCTGGCGGGCGCAAGCCTGGAAAATAACGGCCACGGCGCCCTCTCGAGAACCGAAAACGGACAATTCACTAATCGACGTGTCACTGTTGGGGGTTCTGTCCACCTCCGATTCTTATAAATACCGCCGGGAACCCTTTGAGAGGTGCTCCAGGGGTCGCCTGGCCACAGTTTGATCCCCCCCAGGGCCAAGTCGGCCCTGGGGGGGAGGGCTGCGATCGACGATCTCTCCAGCCATCAGGAATCATCATCAGGGGGAGGCATGGTCAGCCTCAGGTCGGGCATGCCCTCCTACAGGGGATTTGGGGCGAAAAATGAAAATAATCAAAGGATGCGCAACACTTTTCAAACATGGTTAAACAGTGATCCCCACACATTTTTTTGCAGATTTTTCAATTGTACTCCTGTAGAGGGACACGCGCGACTTAAGAACAACCGGCATCGACTTGGGAACTCGGATCGGATCGGGACGTGCGTCGGATCGGGCTGCCTCGGCGCAGCACCGACACCGCACTGGATCGGCTGCGCCAGGATGCACAACTGCGCGATGCAAGCATCAAGCCGCATCGGTCCGCCACGACAAACAAACCGTATCGGATCGGGCCAGCCCGCATGGATATCGACACTTGTATTATGTTGCGTCCTATCATACTGAAGGACCACATCCCAGAAATAATGTTGAGCAGCCGGGAAAAGGTGTCGAAACAGTGTCGAAACAATGTCTCACAGGGACCGACACGTGAAAACCTTCGCGTTTCGGCATTTTTCATGTGTTCGGAATTCTTTCTGGTGATCAAGGCTAAAGAAGGTTGGGACATCATAAAACTTGTATCGAATCGACGTGCTCGGCAATGGGGGGCAATCATGTTGGATTGGCCCTGCCCTCTCTCTTGGGCCTCTGGGGGCAGAGCACATGATCGGAACACACCCAAGGATGCCGCGGCGCGCCCTCGCGTCCCCAGCCCGCTGCTCACGAGTCTGTGTTGTCATTGCTTTTCATTAGGGGGAGTTCCCCCCGGAGACACGCGCCCCACGGGCCTGCAATGCGGGCGAACACCCCGTTTTAGAGGGCAAAACACTAGAATTCGAGGGCACACAATCCACCCCCAGAATGACCACCTCGACAAGCGAGGCCGTTTACTGAACGCCCCCACTGAAGGAACCGAACAGGGCAGGGCTGTTTAGTAAACGCCCAAGGCCGTTCAATAATCGTCAGTTGTCCGGTCTTTGTGGTTCTTCCTCCCTTGAAGAATCGGGAAATCCTCCTGGAGACACGCGGCCCACGGGCCTGCAGTGCGGGCGAACACCCTGTCTTGAAACACCACCGCCATCCATCCTTGCACCGGAAGCGCAAGCATCGACCACGCATGTGCGCCCAGGTTCTTGAAGCAAGACTTCTCAAGTCAGAACCGAAGTCCCGTTTGTACCCTTCAACGAGGCCTGGGTGCACGAGGGGCGCTCGAGGAACAACTGCGGAGGGACCTGAGGCTCAGCGAGCCCTGTACTTTAGGCAGGCGTGCTGCCTGGCCAGTGGTCCAATACGGCCCGGGGCATCCCCCTGCACAGCGGCTGCGAGGCGCGTGCTCCAGCACTGTGCACACTGGTCCACCCTGAGATCCGACGTCGCGAACACATGCGCGTCGTGAGAATCCGCGGCCGAAGCACCAGACCCGAACTCTCTGCACCATGTCTCGAGCGAGGTTGACCTACGAGGGCCGTGAGGCTCAAAAGGCGGCGAAGCCGCCCGGTGTGGAAACAACTGCGACGCCAGGATCTCAGGGCAGCTCAGGTCGACGCAGCGATGCCAGCACTCTTCCAGCCAGGGCTGCTCGGACTGCGGGATCGCAGGGGTGCTGCTGTTCTGCCCCATGCCCCCCCTCGATCATCCCGCAGGAGGATGGTGACGACAGCGAGGAGGAGGAGGAGGAGGAAGAGGAGGAGTAGGATGAGGAGGAGGAGGACTAGGAGGAGGAGGGGGATGAGGAAGAGGAGGAGGAGGAGGAGGAGGAGGAGGAGGAGGAGGAGGAGGAGGAGGAGGAGGAGGATGAGAGGATGAGGATGAGAGGAGGAGAAATGGAAGAGGAGAAGGAGGAGGGAAGGAGGAGGAGGAGGAGGGGGGGAGGAGGAGGAGGAGGGGAGGAGGAGGAGGAGGAGGGAGGAGGAGGTGGGAGGAGGAGCGGAGGAGGGAGGAGGGGGGGGGGAGGGAAGAGGAGGAGGAGGAGGAGGAGGAGGAGGAGGAGGAGGAGAAGGGAGGAGGAGGAGGAGGAGGAGGAGGAGGAGGAGGAGGAGGAGGAGGAGGAGGAGGAGGAGGCGGCGACCCCGCATGAGGGATCGCCTTCTCCTCATCCTCCTCATCGCGGTCGTCGTCCTCTGCATGCCTTCGCCCTTTTCCTCGCTGCCGCCCACTCTCGCCCTTCTGCTCGCTTGCTGTGCACGCGCTGCTCGTGGATGGTTCGTTATCGCATGCGCGCTCTTTTTGTTCGGGCGCAATTGTTGAACACAACTGCCTCGAATCTCCGCTTCGGCCAAGCGCAAAAAGCAAAACAGGCGATTCCGATCCTCTGCCCCTCCTCCTCTCGGAGGAGGGCCCGTTGCGACACCAGCGGCTCTCCCGCCCAACCCAGCTCCGCTCAGAAGCGGTCCCTGGACTCCTCCCGGGGTCCAGACCGGACCCTGTGCCGAAGCAGATTCGGCCGCGGCGACGAGAGGTCTCCAGGAACACCCACCCGGGACGACAGACGCCAGTGAGGGCCGCCGCTGTCTCGACTGGCCCTTTTCCCGACTTCCTCGATCCCCGATCCTCCCTTTCGACTGATCCTCTCCGATCCCCGATCTCTGTCTTCCTGCTCCCAGGACTCCCCCCCCCCCTCCGAGGGGCACCGGCACATGGGGACCAGCAAAGGAATGTGGGGGGGAACATCGAGCTGGAATCAACGACGCCTCGCCGATACATCGGCGAGAGGACCTCGCTAGCGACATCGCATGTTCCTCTGGGTTGGGTGGGCCATCGGCCCCCTATCGATAAGCTATCGGCGATAGGGGTCGACGCGTCCACCCCTGCGCCTATCGCCCCCGACGAGCAGGAACTTTTTCGCTTAGCGTGTCGCAGCGGCGGCCCCGGCGACGCGCCCTGACCTGCGAGCGGATAGCGTGTCGCTCCGCTTCGCGGGGCGCGAGGCTGGGAGGGGCTCGAGACGTTGACGCCTTGGGAAGCGGGACGTGGTCAGCGTGTCGGGCCGAAGCGTGCTGGACCAAGATCGGCGGCGAGCGAGGGGGGGAAATGAGAAGGAGAAGGCCTTCTCAGAAGGCGGCGGGACTTCTCAGAAGCCCCCTTGCCTTCCGAGAAGTTGTTTTTTTGTCTCCTGGGAAGGCCGAGGAAACTTCTCAGAAGGCGCGGGTGACTTCCAAACCTTCTGAGAGGGCCTTCTCCTTCTCACTTCCCCCCCCCGCTCGGCGCCGACAGAACCTGCGACGCGACACGCCGAGCCACCGCTCCTGACCGTAGCTGTAAGTTGGGCGTGTCCCTCTTCAGGTGGAACACCACGAAATAGTAAAACATAGTCTAGATCTTTCTTTCTCTCGAACCTTTGACTATTTTGGAATATGTTTGGGCTATTTTTTCAGTTTTCGCCCAAAATCCGCCTGCAGGATGACCTGCCCGACCTCACCATCGCTTCCGGCTGCGCGCAGGAGGTGGCCTAGTGCGCAGGCAGGCGCAGCCTCCGGTGCGCGCCCGTCGGGGGGGCCGTGGGGAGGCCACGCCCGGGCGCGCAGGACGCTGCCATCGCACCGCGTTCAGTCATCAAAAAATCCACGCACCTTCTCCTCCTCCTCCTCCTCCTCCTCCTCCTCCTCCTCCTCCTCCCCTTCCTCCCTCCTCCTCCTCCTCCTCCTCCTCCTCTCCTCCTCCTCCTCCTCTCCTCCTCCTCCCCTTCCTCCTCCTCCTCCTCCTCCTCCTCCTCCTCCTCCTCCTCCTCCTCCTCCTCCTCCTCCTCCTCCTCCTCCTCCTCCTCCTCCCCCCAGTGTGCACGCACCAAAAGTCACTCCAACGACCGATCATTCTACGTGTAGCCGAAACGTCGCCCCCCTGACCTAGAGGCCTGCCTGGACGGGGCCTGAGGTGACGAAATCGGCGATGTATCGGCGCCGTCGGCGTGGAGAACATCGGGCTCCACCTCGAGCCGCATTGGCGCTGCGGCGCCATCCTCGGACCCCATCTGATCGGACCCCATCTGGGAGACCTAGAGAAGAGGCCACTCCAGCGAAAGGCAACTCTTACGTTCGGGTGTTGCTAGAAGTGCCCCTGGCCCAAGGTGCCCCCAGCTTTTCGATCCATTTTGGAGCCCCTGGGGCCCTGTGGGCCTCGTGAGGGGTGCTCTGGATGCCGTTTGGGCTACCCCGAGAATCCTGGGGGCACCTTGGCCCTTTGGACTTCTAGCAACACCCGATACGTGCAGCCGACACGTCGCCCCCTGACCACACCCACTGGAACCACCGGCCTCAGCTGCCCCGCCTCGCCCTCGCCGCCGCCGTCGCCTGCGGGCGCGAGCGCGCGCGCGGAAGATCGCGCCCATCCGCCCCCTCCTCGCGGCGGGGCCTCGAGGGCGGCGCCTGGTGGCCCCGCCCTCGGCGGCCCTCGGCCCTCAGCGGCGGCGGCGCGTTGTCGTTGTCGTCGTCGTCGTCGGCGACTCATCTTCGTCTCAACGTCGTCGTCGTCGTCGTCGTCGTCCTCCTCCTCCTCCTCCTCCTCCCCGCCTCCGCCTCCCCCTCACTCTTCTCCGATCCCGACCGCCCATCCGCCCCCTCCTCCTCTCCCCTCCCCAGTCTCGGCTCGATGGTCTCTGACCCAGCGCGCAGCCAGGACACGAGTTGCCCAGGACTTCCCTTGATCGCCTCGCGAGACTGGACACACTCTACCACAGCGTGTGACTGATTCGTGCAAATTCCCCTTCCGTATCTGCGTGCGCGCCATGGCCCCGAACAGTTCTCGCCGCGCACCTCCTGCACCAAGGCAGCCCAAGCCACCAGGCCATGGTCGCCAACAGACTCCCTTACCCGAGGTCAACTTGGCTCGAACGGAATTCTGAGCCGCTGCACTCCAGAGCAAGAACAGCGTCGACCGAGAAGTCGCTACATACAACGAGCTCGCTCACGATACCATTTACCAGCAACACCGCTCCGACGAGCGAAAGCTCAGGGGCAAGCTAATGAGGTTGTACGGAAACTATAAGCAACTATGCAATGGTGCACCACCCCCTCACGCACAAGAGTGCCACAGACCGTGGCACCGCACAGCACGTACCACGGTCGAAGCCGAAGCCCACCAGGGCAACGACACGCCCCCTCTCATCAGCCTTGATGCGCAAAAGTGGCACGTCCCCATGACCACAGCGCCTTAAAAAAGGGACGGGGAGGAAATGTCACACACCAACAGCATCTCGCTCCACACGCTAGAGGAAGGCGACCGCCTGCACCAACATATCCGAACCCAGGACAAACCTCTAGCCCTCGCAGTTCTGGGGCTCAGCAACGCGAGCTACCCTGGAAGATAAATGCGAATCCCAGTGCTGCGGCGCACGGCGAAGGCTATCAAGCACACGCCAAGCCACATCCAGGGCACCATCTATCAACTCGAACGGGAGTAGGTCAAGTGCCTCCAGAACGTTGTGCAAATCAAGCTTGACCCAACCGACAACGTCGTCTCGATCCGCGCGGCCACTCATAGTCGCGCCTGCGCCCGAGAAATTATTCGCAATACCATTCCAAAACGTCGCACCAATCAATGGTAACCGCTATCCAGGCGGACCAGGAAGGAGACAGAAAAAGTCAAAGGAGCGCCGCCTGTCAGCCAAGAAAGACGCTGCGCGCATCCAGGCGGACGAATACCTCGACGACGCCTTCACGGCCGTGTTTGCGTGCCACTTCTGTATCGTACAAATCCAAGAACAATGCAACTCTCAAGGCTCCATGACACATCTGCCGGGAAGCGCAAGCGAACGGCTTCCTTGGGCACCGAGCCAGCCGGCATTCCATTGGTCCTCTCTGCCTCGGGCCAAGCATGCGTCTCATTCGACATCGGCTACCGCAGCCCCAGAGGGCCCCAGCCCAACGATTACGTCATCGTGCGGTACCCCGACGGTCACCAGACCATGCTCCAAGAAAACCCACCATACCTCCACCAAACACATCGCCTTCGGAGCGGCAAGTGCGGACAAGAGAGCGGGCATCAGTGTTGAGTCGAACACCAAGAAGGTGAAACACGTTGCCCTGGAACTACGTGGGGCCGACGCAACAATGGTCAACGCCAAGTACGGCACCACAGAGTGCTACCAAGGCACAGATCACTCAGGTGCTCACATCCACCAAGGGGCACTGCGAGGTACAGCACACAGGCTGCGGCAGAGTCACCAGGTGTGATTTCGCCATGGTCAAAGCGGCCAGTCCTCCACCGAAGCCCCGCGGTCCACCTCCATGGGTCTACCATCCCATGCGCCATCGCCAGGTTGGGGGCGAAATCCTAAGCTGTGGCGGACTAGCCGAGAGGCCCTGTTGCTACGATTGTCTCGCCAGAAACCGCCGTGGCGGAGAAACCCATGGCGGGGCCACCCTCGCCGCCCACGGGAGGGGGCAGGGACCGACCCTTCCCCGCCCCTGCCGGACAGGCCGGCCGCCAGACCCTGCCTGCAAGCGCTGTTCAAACCATCGGCACGCCCGAAAGCGCCGCCGCCGAGCACCCCGCCACCAGGGAAGAAGCAACGCAGGATCAGCGTGCCAGGGGCGTGCCGAAGAGCTAGCAACATCAAGAAGGAACCAGCTACAACCACCAACGACTCCACCCTGGCCATCAAGGATGGCCATCGAGGATGCGGCTGGCTGCGACATGGAGAACAGCGCCGAGGGCATCGGGGACACTGACCCCCCCCCTTCGTGATAGGCCAGAACTCTCCCAGATCTCAAACTCGGCGTCACCCCCCACGGGCTCATCCAGCGAGAACAGTCCCAGTGACCCACAAGGCAACCAAGATCCAGGAGGATGCCCTCCTCGCGACCGCGCGATGGACCGAGGCCTGCCACCCCGAGCCCAACATGCACGCCAACAGGCGGGGGGTTCGGAAGCGGATTGCCTGCAACAATAACGGCATCAACGGCGTCTGCGTTGCGTCGGTCCACGCCGAATCTGGCGCGGCCTGTATCGCCAGGCGTGGGAAGGCTACGAACAGGGGCGGCGACGCGCCATGCTTCATCTGCATGGGCGCGCAAAATGGCATCAAGGAGTGAACCTCCCTCGCCCAGCTCTCCAACCTGGGGCGGTTCAGCGCGGCATCGGGCTCTCCTGACACAAAAAGCGTGCACCTGCGGTCGAGACCTCGACTGGGGCCGAAGAGCGCCGGGAATTGAGGGGGGCCGTATGGACTACGTGTTCACCAGCGCCAAAGGCAGGCAGCTCGTCGCCAATTCCGCCGTGCTTCGCGACCTTCCCACCGAACAAGACTTGGGACCTGGGGTTCCTGGAGTCTCAACCTGGACGTCACCAGACAGCCAGCGAGAAGACTCAAGGCTATCATGCCCTACCCGCTAGCCTCCGCAGCCATAGACTATTGATGAACAGCGCGCCATGGGTAACTCCATGGAACAAGCTTACCGCCCGCGAGTGGTGGCCGCTGGCGAGGCTGACGACGTGGGCAAGTTATTCGACCTCGCCGACCAAGCCGCCCACGACTACCGTGCCCAGCTTATAGCCAGATGTCCACCGCAGGAGCAAAATAAGACTGCCACCAGGCATGCCATGCGCTGCCCCGCTGGTCAGGCCAGAGCACGGCATTTCCAACCGAGCTACCAATGATTTTGAGAAGCGCTCCAGGCAACTTAAGGGCATCAGGAAGGGGCTGGCGGCCCGCCGACAGCGCGCAGCCGAGCGCGGCGTTGCCCCGTTCGATGGGCCCATGCTAAGCGTGCTTGGGTTGCCGCAAACGTCCGTGCAACGCGGATCCGCTTTGCCGGCCTCGCCAACCCCTCGCGAGTCTGGGGCCGCGGTGAGCTGCCAGCCGGCGCTCGACTCGACGACCTCATCGCCGCCGCGGCCGAGCAGGTGGGGCGCCTCCCGCTCGCGACCTAGTTCGAACGTCGCACCCGCGAATGAAAGACCGCGCGCGGGCCGAGGGCGGGGGCAGTGCCGCGGGCCAGAGGATTGCAGCGGCGGACAGCTCCAGCACCGTCAACCTCCGCATTCCCCATGATGGCCCCCGCGCGCGCCGCCGGGCACCCGCGGGTGTCCAGAGCGGGAGGAGGGCCGCCGGGCCAGGACACTTGCTCCACCGCTGCGCCCGATGACCTTTCTGCGGACAGCGACCGTGAAAGTGGCGGCGCCCGGGCCCGCAGCGAGCCAGACGCGATCCTCGCAGACGCCGGCGCCGCGATCGAGCTCGCGACCAACACCTGGGAACGCAGACTGAATGCGCGCCGCGCCAACGAGGGCCGAGCTTGCGAGATCGCGCCCGCCTGCGAGGACTTCAAGGCTGAGTGCCAGCTCGAGCCCCCTGAGCCAGCGCCAGCCGAGTCATTCGCCCTCGCCGACGACTACCTCGTCTACGGCTGCATTCGGACGAGGCCGGCTGCAAGGCCAGGAGGTCTCGACAGATGGGCCACCAAACAAAGTAAATCGCCCCCTGCCAGAATTCTGCGCCTCGCCGCCAGCGCGCCTCGGGCCGCGTAACGAAAGGGGGTTGCCCCTGGGTCTCTTCTTCGCGCCCCTTAGCCTTGCCTGCGAAGCAAGAAGATTGAGCTTCCCGCAGACCCATGACTGTTCTCCATTCAATTATGCCTGTCTGGATGTGCGCCTGGGACGCGCCAGCTTACCGTTGCCGAGCCACCTGGGAAGCGCTCTGGGCTCGCCCCGCCAGCGCTGGAGCCGCCCCGCGCGCCGCCGCCGGCGACGTCGGCGCCGCGCCTGCCCTGCCGGTCGAATGCGCGCGACGTCGCCAGCGGCCGCTGGTTGGGGTCGCGCTCGAAAGACAGAAATGCCCTGACTACCTTGTTACTGACGTCTGTCTCAACCTGGCCCTGCGCACTGCGTCTCCAAGACGTCGCGCGCGCAAGGCGAGACTTCGGCGACAATCTCCGCCGCTGCGCCCGCGCGGGAGGGGCCCGCTCCCCGCCCGCGCGGCGCGCCAGCGAGCACCTGCACGCCAGATCCATTTCCCATGGCGACATCGAGCTCCTCGCGCGCGTGTAGGCAAAACGGTTCCGCAAGCATGTGCCGCGATCGCTCAGCTCCAATTTTGTCGACGACGGCGCTTCTTCCGCCCTTCTGGCCGCGGAGCTCCAGACCTCTTTTGGCCAGATTGTCCTCCTTGACGACCTGTCGGGCCAAGCGAGTTACCGGGCAAAATTGTAGGATCGGCCCTCGGGGGAGATCTCAAACGCGGGGTCGCTGATTCCCACCCGAGCAGGCGAACCGCTCAAAACTGACCGCCAAGCGTAGTTGGTCGGAAGTTGAATAAATGCGGCGCCTGGGACCGAGGGGCCCGGGTCAACTC